ACATTTGCAGGATGATCTTTCTGATCTTCGTCATGTATAGATAACATATTCCATTGTGTATTTTTTGTTCTGTCATTGGAAATTTCCAGTCTTGCTCAGTGCTCATGATTTTTAAGCTTTTGATGTACGTGTGGCATATAAACTCCAGTTCTGGAAATTTTTTAATATATTTTAATATTTATGTGTAACAGCTAAAGATTGTTTAGAAGTAATAAGTTCCATGAACTTCATGTTTATTGAATCAACAGCGGGTGACTCGGTTGGCTAAGCACTAAGTAAACAACAGTATTTTTATCTTTCAAATTATATTTGTTTTGTTTTATTTTAGTTTTCCAATAGACTTATCTAAAACGTAAAACAAGTTTGCATTAGATATTAATAAAAACCTGTTCACAATCAGCTAAAGTTAAACTTATATCCCTCTTTTTTGTTTTTCTGGATTAAAAAGAAAATAAGCCAATAAAGCATAACATAAACTTAATTTTATTTTACACAATTTTGCATCTCAAGTAAATTCAGCATGTTTCAAAAATGTTGTTGGAAAACAGACAACAACACTGATTAAACATTTTTTTGACTTCAAGCAAATGCACTTGTCTTGGCTACAAAGCAAACTGCTGCTCCTAAGTTTGCTGTAATTAGAGTACACCAGACGGTTCTTCTGTTTGCATTCATCTTTCTGGTGGTGCTCTCGTTCGTTCACTCTTCTATTCATCTGTCAGTTGTAGTCAGAACCCTTCCCTTCGCTTCCCTCCTCCCTCTTCCACTTCTTCCTGGTGCCAGTCTTTAACTACTCTCCACGTTGGCCACTGCTCTGCTTGTTACAGGCCCAACACGAGTGCAAACAATCAAAGTCTTTGGGAACACTGAAATATGCATGGCTATCCGTGACAGACAGATAAAGCAGGGCAATTAGCCACGTAATCCTAGAGTGGCGCAAGGACTCGTCAGCCTCAGCTGTCCTCCCTCCCTCTCTCCGGATCTCTTTCCTCGCGCTACTCTCTTGCTCTCTATTAGTTAAATGTACTTTGTGTGTCGGCTCCCCATCAAATCAAGTAACACTTCCTCTAATTGGCTTATAAATTATACAGCTGAGGCAGCATTATAATTTCATCAGTGGTAAACATTGCAGGGGCAGTTGGTAAAGAATCTATCCCTCATTAATTTCTTAATTTGGGTAGATGGAACGGAGAGGAAAGAGAGAGAGAGAAGTTGGGGATGAGTGAGAGAACCAGAACGACAGAGAGGGGAGGATCGAATGAACGAAAGAAACTCGCATCACCTCGGGGATGATGGGGTGGTTGGTTAAAAAAAAACAGGAGGATGTTGCCGGCGCTTTTGTTAATAAATGTCAGATATATATACGATCCAAAGGTTTTGTCGGTCGCTCTTCCTGTGAATTCCAGGCAGTGGCTCCCTTCCCATGACTTTTCTCACTCACGCATCGTTTTCCCCATTTTCTCCCTTTGTGTTCTTTTTTTACACTGACTTTATGAATATTTCATAGCAAAGGTCATAAATATTCATTCCAATAGCTTTGCATAGTACTTATTACCGGTATTCCTTTTTAAAAAACAAAAATACTCATTATAAATTCTTCATACTCTTTCCCTGAAATAATTACAAGTGCCGATATACCGAAACGCACACACTCACTCCCTCGCAGAGAGTGCTTTGTACCACTGCTTGAAGTGGAGACAAATGAATTTACAGTTCACTCACAAGTTATTTCTTCGAGCTTCTGCTGTGCCTCTTTAGAGACACACAACTGAGTTATGCATTTTATTCTCACGAATAGTTATGAACTTTTAGCATATCATATTTAAGGACTTTTTACGATCCTAACATCCCATCTAAAGGGCTGTTAATCCTCTACCTGCGGGTCGCTTGAAAATTCAGGTAATTTATGCGGAAACCGTACTAATGACATATGCTTGGAGTTGGGAGTTGAATGCATCCGCGTGAGTTTGTATCCTGACTGGGTCCCATCTGTCTCCGCTCCTCTCATGCTGTAGATTTGGACTGGCTGCTTCCACCTCCTGTCAGATTAAACACGAAAACATATGAGTGAATGACTGCTAACCGCTTCCATTGTCATGTCACATTAAGTCTCGAGTTCCTGCCGTTTTGATTGCTCGTTTCGACCATTTCTGGGACTTCTGTGCAGGGCAGGTTAATCTTCTTGACATTGTCTGATCTTTGGGAAACGTACAGTATTTTTTAAGGGCTTCCTTGTGTCTCTGTGGTGAAAGCCAACATAAAAGGATTCGGAAAGAGTGGGAGAATCTTCAGAGGGGAAGTGAGCCGCCGAAATGGTGTGAAATGCAAACGCCCAATGGCTGTTCTTTCATGGCTTTTATTCAATAAAACAGAGCTCTTTTTATGTAAGCCTTTTGAGTCTGACATATAACACCCACACTCAGACAGGATCAGATGTGGCTTTGCCACTGGATGATGATGATTATTATTAGACATTTATAATTTGATCATTTTTTGAATGATCATTGGATTTAACAGATCACCTATGTAGATCTGAACTATTATATTAGTTTCAGTGTAAAGCTGTGTAGGTGCGTGATGCACATGCCATGTGCTAAAACATTTTCTGCTGTGCTGTTCTTGTCAGTTTTCATTTCACTTTTTTAAAGTTGCTAATGTAAAATTCTGAAGATTTAAGAGGACTTTTTCTTGGGCATTTGCAAATCTGTTTAACAATCTGGCAACTTTCATCCTCTTATATTTTTTTAATCATCACATTACACACAGGAACATAAATATATAGGGACATTAATATATAGACACACACTCCCGTGGCACTCGCGCTTATCCGTGGTTGTGTGTTTAGTGTGTGGCGAATGACTTTAATTAATGTTGCAGTAAAGCAGAACTCGGGTCGCATCCTTCGTGAGGTTCTGCATTAGTTCCACCTGAGCTGCTCCACCACACCGCAGAACAAGCAGAAAGACTGACTATTGACATCTCACACTCTCTCATACGCTCATACCAGTCACGGGTCACTGACTCCATCCCAGCGGGTCCATGTACCCGTTAAAGGGCCGTGTTAACAGCCTGATTTCAGAGTCTGCAGGAAAAACCAGGGGTCCCTAGACAGCCCCCAGACAGACTTAATTACTGATGAATTACTGAAGTCTGAGGGAACACTTCTACAAAGCATACTTGAGATGAAATATATTCAGATGAGAAAATTGATGTATATACACTACGGAGGTGAAGCCACATCAGAAAATCTACTGCTTTAGAAGCTATTTTCTTTTCCCCCAGTATGACTCATAATCACACATACATATACATGTATTAGGGGTTTCATCAACTAGTCGACTAGTCGACTGTCACAACCACTAGTTGGCGCTGTTGGCCTTAGTCGACTAGTCGGAAACAAAATGATGACATATATATAGATATATTTTTTGTTAACTATCCCTTTAAATACAAGCGGCAGTACTATATACTATAAGGCGCACCTTCAATGACCTATTTTAGAACATTTTTCAAACGTTTGACTGGGTTTGCGTTATGCATCCACTAGATGTGCTAAAGGGAATGCAGCGAGTGCGCGGCGTCAGAGGTAAGGCGTTTATTTAGTAAGCGTGAGCGCGCTGGGGCGGGCACGTAACTTACATTCGCAGCCTGCTGACAGCAGTGTCTGTTCGTGTGTGTGTTAGAGAGCGCTCGTGAGCGGGAGATATTTTATACGAGGTTGAACTGGCCGTGTGACAAAGCGGGCAGAAGATGGACACGAGCGCGAGCAATTGATATAATGCGCTCCGGATTATAAAGCTTGAGAAAAGGCCGGATTGAGAAAATTAAAGGCTTTTAAGTGCGCTTTATAGTGCGTAAAATACGAGTACTCTCGCTTTTAGACCAGCACGCGACGTGTTTAATATAGACGCATATTAGCCTACACCAGATTTTCTCTCAAATGTTTGCTTTCACTTTCTATATGGGGAGGCTGCACTTTAGACATAGCCAATTCTGTTTATGTAAATATTGTGTGTATTTAACAGTATTAGCATAATAAGACTTGAAAGATAACTTAGTCCAGCGCTGTTTGACAGGCTTCTAATGCCTGTGAGCGTCGGGGATATGCCGCGCGCTCAGGAAAGCGCACGTTAGAACAGCGCGTGAATTAAATGTTTAACCGGCAAGGCTTATGCAAACAATGAACTTTTGTGAATTGCAGTGTCCCGTACCTATTCCTTAACGTGTGATGTGTAGGCTACGTCGCGTTGTACAGTTGAGAGGCGCCAGAACTGATAGAATGCACTGTAACACGATACTACTACTACCATATTTCTTCAAAAGCAGATCGTGGAGACATTTACTATTCGTGATGTCGCACACCGCTAGAATAAACCATTTAACGACTAGTCGACTAGTCGTCGACTGTTATGCAAAACTAGTCGACTAGCAAAAATCAGTAGTTGTGAAACCCCTAACATGTATATGCATATTTTCATGCAGATTGTATTGTGAAATTTATTTTTGGTGTCAGAATACAAATTAAGTAGTCAGACCTATATATGTAAATTACTTTAAACATATTTAACCCCGTGTTTTATAAATTATGTTCTAATGGTCCATTTTTGCTTTGCCTTTTTTTGGGGGAAAAAAATTTATATTTAAAGCATTTTGTCACTTGTTACTCCTACAAACTAAATCTGAGTGATTTTCACATTTGTTACTAAAACCATAAAATGTAAAAAAAAATAATAATAATAATAATAATTGGATAACTATAAATCACAATAGTTATTATGTACAATTGCAAATATATTCTTCTAAATAAATTAATATATCAAATCAATACAGTTATATTGTGGAACAGTGTTGTTATGCAACAACTATATAATCTATAATTATAAACACTCTAACTATAACTATAATCTAATTATCATCACATATGCTGAAATTTTTTGAAAAAACTCAAATGTATTTCAAGTTTATTTATAGATATGTACACATGACAGAGAAACAAGGAATTGAACTGTAAAAATCTAGTTTATTATAACTATGTACACAAAGAGCTCTGGAATACTGTACATTAAATACAGAGTAACTTTTGTGCCAAATCAAATTTACACACTTTTTGGTTGTAAAAGAAGAATAACTTCAAGCACAAAAGAGTCCATAAATAAAACTTAAAAAAAAAAATTGTAGCACAAAATTAAAAGCTTCAGTGCAAGAGCGAATGACTTTTAGCATTTTGTTTGGGCTCAACAAATTAGGTGTTTAACGAAAGGTGATGTATATCAAAATATGTTAACAAACAAAAGAAAATGAGATTAAATAATATAAAAAATCTGTCTGTTATCTGTTTAAAGCACAAAGCCACGAACACAGAAGTTATGAATATTTCATACAGAGAAAAGAACGAAACCTCCTTTTGAAGTCTTGACAGAGCACACACAAAGAGGAAAGAGGAGGGGGGCGTAATTATTGTCGAAATGTTTTTTGACAGATCGTTATATTAAAGAAGTAGGAGGTTCTGCCAAACAGAGCTAACCTCTTCAACAGGAGAAGTCTCCACCTATCAACAAAGCTAGCACTCAAACCAAAAGGCCAAGATCCATTTGACAATCTAATATCTAGGAAAGAAAATACACGGCACGGGGGAATTGGAATTTCAATCACGTTTGCAGTTATAATCTAATCTGTGACATTTAGCACCTGTGACTATTAATATGCACTGTATATTATGTGTACAATTGAAATCCAAATATATCTTCATTTGCCTAGTACATCATTTAAAAACAACTTTCAAATTCATGTTATTAGATGCTTCTCGCAATATGTCAGTGAACAAATTTGCCGTGACATGCAGCAGACGGCATTTGAGGTTCTGAGCACTGCCTTTGTGTTCTAGTCGCTCTTTGATTAATACATGATGCACGTTATTACCTCATAATCAAACACTCCTTACATGTTGCATTACCAATTGTAATTATATGGCAACATTTCAGAACGCATCGTAATGAAGGAGCCCCTCTCTATGAATAATAAAACCTAGAACAACTAAATAAACACTGTGATTACTTTACGTTTAAGGCCTCTGACAGTACCGAATGCTTTCGGTGATACCGAATGAGAGATGGGGAGTGGAATTGTGCGTAATTATCAGGCCATCTTTATCTCGGGATACCATCCGAAACCTAAGACAGGGCTGCCGACTATAGCCCTGAGGCGAGCTATCATCTTCAGTGACACTAGAGAGATCGCAGGGCAAGGCGACAAGATGTACTGTTGATAAGAACGGACATGGCGGAGAGCATTCTGAGGGTCCGACTAGCCCAAGTCCATCTTTGATCACCATTGACCCCATGGGTATGCATGGGTCTTCCCTGCGACCCACAAAAAAAAGGGGCTAACTTTATTTAACAATATGCACTCAAGCTCGCTATCTTAATTAAAATGGGTATCACATATTCGGCTGGGATCCATTCCTCATTACTGTTGTATCTCATTAGAGTTCGGCCCTTTTGAGGGGCTGGATCAGTTTTGAAACAGTTTTCTCCCGGTCTCCTTGTTTTCATTTCCTTGTACAGTCGTCTTCTCTTCCTTCAGGCCAAGGAAAAGTCATTATTTGGAGATGGGGGAAATGGTGTTTGCGGATACATAGAAATGTTCCAAACGCCAATTAGGAAATGGATTTATTTAAACCAATTAAAATCAGAAGAGCCACAAGAAGAGCATGCATTTTTAATGCCAAAGTAGGATGTCAGTGCAGCATAATATTAACAAATTAAAAATATGCAGCAAATATCTACAATAGAATAATTTATTAACACATAGTCACAAAATTAAACATCTCTTTTTAGTTAAAGCTTGGCTTTAAAATAAAGATCTGTTAATATGAAAATGTTTTATATTACAAAATAATTAGTGACTTTTTTTATAGACTTTCTCTTTCAAGTAAAAAAAAGGCATTTTAGTCATTTATGTGGGATGTAGTCCACGAAAGGAATCCAGTACTCAGCTGTTTTTTGTTTTGTTTTTTGTGTGTGTCACTGCTTTAGTAGAAAGGGGAGTCACAAAAGATGCAGGGACCTTGGAGTATTTTCTTGATCCAGTCTGAATCTGAAAAGGTGAGAAGTTTTCTGTTATTATGCATTATTTATATACACCAAATTAAGGTGGTTTTCTACATAATGGCCTGTCTATCGTTCCCCATGTTCAGCAATATGATGCATTTGGAAAACGTTATAATGCAACAGGATTGTCAACTTGTCAAGCTAGCAAAATGTCAGTAATAGACAAACAACAATGGAAAAAAAACATTCATTTAAAATAGCTTAAAATATTGACAAACATGTTGCATTCAAGTATTTATAAAAGTTTTTTTTCCCCAAGTAATAACTCTAGTAAGAAGTAATAGATTTGTTTCTTAATATTGTTATCAGATCAGTATTAAACTACATGGCCAAGTGCATAAATCAAATATTTTGACACATTTTTGTCTAGCCTTTTTACTAGAACTGGGCAACATTTAATCACATCCAAAATAAAAGTTTGTGTTTACATAATATATGTGTGTGTACTGTGTATACTTATTTTGTGTATATATATATATATATATATATATACACATGCATGTATACAGTATTTATACATAATTTAAATTACATACAAATATTTATATATAAAAAGCCAATTTTTCTTAAATACATGCATATGTGTGTATTTATATAAATACAAAATAATTATACACAGTACACACATATATATTATGTAAACACAAACTTTTATTTCAGATGCGTTTAAATGCGATTAATAGTTGCCGAGTACTACTTTTTACATTCACTTTTTTAATATTAATGCCTCACCAAGATCCTGACTAAATTACATGCATTTAAAAAAATTACATGTGATTGTTTGAACGGGCCACTCCAGTCAGAGTAGAAGTGCCAAAAAGAAGACGTACTTCAGGCTTTACGCCTAGCGTCACGTGTTAATGGCCGTAAGAACTGACTACGATATCTATGGATTTCTAAGGTAATCAGCTAACTTTGTTATTGGCCTTTTATTCCATTTAAATATCTAAACATTACTGTGAAGAAGAAAACGTTTTAATATCAATCTGCACGTGTGAGGGACATTGGTTATGCTAATCTTTGCTCGCTCCTTTTAAGTTATCTTGAGTAAAACCGCAAAAAAAAAAAAAAAATCATGAAGCACATACAAAAGACCAGAACCGGAAGTGATGAGACCTGTTTTACAGTAAGTTGTGCATAGAGCCTATTAACATTTCATTTCGTATCAACTTGGTACCGGAGTACCAGTACATTAGACATCCTAAGCTTGCACTGCTGTGAGGCAGCAGCGTTCTTGTTTTGTGTGTGTGCAAGTAAAAGTGTAAGTGTGTGGTGCGATGTGGTTCTGAATGGAGATATGATACAGCATTATGGCTCACCCTCGGGCTCTGCTACTGAGGCAATACTGTCCTGCAATAGACAGCGGCGGTATGTCACACCCTGACAGGCCTGATATGACAGCGCACACCTTAGGGAGGAAGAAGGAAAGAAAGAAAGATGGAAATAGACAGTAAGACATGAACAGAGGGGGGAAGGTTTAGATCAGTACTTGGCAGAGATCAGAATGACAGCAATGACACAACTATTTCCCTGATAGGCCATTAGGGGCAGTAATCCCCTTTCAGTCATGCCAATGGATGAAATGTCACACAAGGAGCTTGAAAGTGGGTCAAATCTACCCGAAACCTGTTTAACAATCTCATACTGTATAGTGCAATGCAGAAAAGGCGATTTCATACCACTGGTGACATTTGTTCATGGCACGTTAATCTAGACCTACAAAGCATTTGTAGTCTTCTAAGCTTGTTTGGGCTTTACATTCTGGTATTCTTAAGGATTAAGAGCAGAATATGAATAATACCTAAAATTACACAAATTATCAAAACTTAATCTGTTAATCAAAGTGTGCAATCTGTCGGATTTGAGCCAAGCAGAGCGTCAGAATACAGATTTGAAACAACTTGTGGGTGAGTAAATGATAAAAGAAGTTTAATTTTTAAGTGAACTATTCCTTTAAGTGCTATAGAACCAGCTGTAAAAAGTTAGGATCTTATAATAACATGGCATACATATCACAACATATTTATGGTTACATACCTTAGCCACCTGTGCCCATTTTTACACTCTGCCCGTTTGCAGTCCGTGAAAGGCAGAACTTCTTTACAGAGGCTGCAGTGCTCTGGAAATGTCTGTTTGTTCATCTTATTCATGATATGACCTATCAGCACCTGTGAAGGTCACACATCAAATAGGGGGGAAAAAATTGACATACAGGGTAATATGGTGTACTTCGTGCAATGAATAAACTTTGTATTCATTGAACGAATATTTTTATTCACCAATTAAAACGAGTACAATAACGCCCACATTTTTATACGTTTATCATCCAGTTTCAACCTTACATGCAAATTCTTAATAATTCTGTAATAATTTTGAATAGAATAAACGTTTTCATGTTTTTGAAAGAAGTCTTTAATGCTCACCAGGGCTGAATGTATTTGATCAAAAATACAGATAAAGTGCAGTACAAAAAATACACTGAAGACTGAAGCAAAGACATTTAAAAATGCATTGTAATTGAAACCACTTATTTTAGATTGTAATAATTTCTCACAATATTACTGTTTTTACTGTTTGCAGCCTTGGTAAGCACAAGAGATGGTATTTCAAAAACATTTAAAAATCTTAATTGTCCCGAACTTTTGACCGCTTGTGCATAAAGCAACTATATCCGTACCTTAGCCGCACGGTCTTCATTTGCAGGGTCATTTGTGAGGAAGTCACACACACCTTTGGTAGGTATACATGTGTTCTGAGTGACACAGGTGTGCAGGTATACCTCGCCCAGCACCTTCTTCATGTTCTCACGAATCAGTTGGGACTCCACCTCTTCGATCCTGCTGCCGATTTCCCTCATTTGTTCCTCACTGGACTGCCTTTCGGCATCCCCCTGCCTGTGCTCCTCTAAAGCAGAGATCTCCGCCATCTCGCCTTCATCCCCTCCACCTGCATCCTCATCCACAACAAACACTTTACTATCCCTATGGGTGGGCCGCCACAGGGTCTCCGAAGGGCTTTTCTGCATGGACTTGTAGAGCGCTCTGAGGAGGAAAAGCTTCAAACGCCATAAATAGGTGGACCCTGAGGTTTGGACTTGGAGCTTTTCGTCTAGATTGTTCTGGAGGACAGAAGGGATGCTTTTGTCCTTCAGTATCCGCCATCGAAGCAAGTCCAGCAAGTCGGTCTTTCTGAAGAGATTGTGCATCTGAGACTCGAGCAGCTCAGCGCCTGCTTCATCCGGAGTCTTAAGGGTGATAAACTGCACCTGGTAGGTGCGATTGACGGGGTGGAGCCCATTGATCATGCCCTCATTCGTGATGAGAGACAAGTAGGCACCGTTTGGACTGACGGATATGCCGTGTATCCGTCGACCTGCAACTCCCTCTGGCAGAACGATCTCTTCTTGTTTAAACTCGACAGCAACATCCGTGAAAACAGCCCAGAGCTTCTTTACCTTACCATCTAGTGAGCAGGTATAAATGGTCCCGTTGTTATGACTGACTGTCATGGATATGATAGAGGTGGAATGAAGACCTGTGACATGGGAGTTGTGAACATTGAGACCAGCTTTGGAGATCAGCAACAAGCACCAGAATACATAAGGACCTCGTGCAGCAATCACTAGGCTGCAGTTGCATTTCTGGTGCGGATGGAAGAGCGTAATGCATTTGATGTTGTGGACGGGTATCTGGTCCTTATCCTGCCACAAAACCACAGGTTGCCTGAGGGTGAAATAACCCTTCACTGCCTTGAGGTTGACTGGAAGGATCTTTACAGGTCCAACTGAGCTGCCGATGATAAGTCCGCTCATTTTCCGCCCACTATGCTCATATTCCCACCAGGTGAGCACGCTTGGCGAAGACACTCCAGATTTAATGGTGTTGCAAGACACCACCGAATCCTTTCCTAGCAGGGGCAAGCTGAACTGCCACACCACCACATCTCCATTCTCCATAAGTACAGCCAGAAGCACAGTGCTAACATCTTTACATGCGTTATCGGTCTGAACTTGCTGCTTATTGCACAGACCCGACCACTCCATGCGCATTGGCGTCTGCATGCTATACCGCCGTTGCAGTTCATCTAAGTCTTTAATGGAGCTCGGAGGTGAGCCGTCGCTCTGAGCAGAGTAGTTCCTGGATTTTAACATTTCCCCATAAAGTTCTGTAAGGTCCATGAGAGGCATCCATTGCAAACGCAAATGACTGCTGTGGATTGTGAGACGATTGTCCAGTGTTAAGAAAGCAAGAAGACAGCGGCCGTATTTGTCGCAGCCTAGTGGTGACCAGCTGGTGTACTTCACGCCATGGAGGCGTCCACATTGAGGATGGATGACTCGGTCTGTCATTATCATTTGGCCTACAACTGGATCTTTACTTTTTGCAAAGTTTTCTTTAACAGTCTGCACCTCCTTTTCTGGGCCCACCTGTAACAAAATATAACGAAGACGTTAAAGCTGTGTTTCTCAAACTCCAAGGTCCTGGAGGTTTCTCGAGGTCCTGGAGGGCTGATGTCCTGCAGAGTTTAGCTCCAACCCTCATCAAACAATTGTATGACGTCTTGGGAATGGTCAACTATAAATGAAAGACGCAAATGGTCTACACTTTGTGTGAACATAAATACATGTCTGGTGTAAAGTCAAATGACTAGAGCTGTTTTTTTTTTTCGTCTCTAAAAGATGTCTGTTTCAAAGCTCCACAAAAAGAAGCATTTAAGATAGTGATACATGTCATAATACTGATTCCACTGCCATATTTTAGTACATATAAAATTTTAAATGTCTATTATTAATTAAGATCGCTCTGTCTCATGGACCATGATCACAGAACACATAAATATGTCAGTGATCATAATTGTGACCAGTGGGAAAAAACACAGGCTTAAAAAAAGAAAGAAAGAAAACAAACACAGATTGATTGATTCACATGATAAAATATGTTGTTTTAAATGTTACATTCATTTAAGTAGACGTAATATAGGGTAAAAAAGGGTAAAAAAAAAATATGCACCTGAACGTTTGGATATTTTGTTTAGTTCCCCGGTTGTTATGAGTAAAATATAGTGTTGCACAACATATTTTGACATAGAATGTGATGGGAAAATTAGGGATTAAATAGGATTATTCCTCACAGATGATTAACGTCTATTTTGCACATTTTGAGTTGTCAAGTCACATCGGTCAAAACACAACTACAGGCTTGGCAACATGGTTGTAACAGTGCACATGCGTTGGTACCATAAAGCAACGAGAAGGCGCGCACCACAGTAGTTACCTTGAGCTCGCAAGCGGTGTCCGGCACGGGGATGTGAGTGCGATGCAGCACCAGATTTTGACTGAGACTGTGTATGTCACACACCAGCTCCAGGAGAGACACGTTGTTCGTGCTGGAGGCCGCCAGTCTGTGATCTTCTGCCCACGACAGGGGCTCCAGACCGCTAACTGGACTCAGCAGTTTAATCGCTGGATCGCGCAGCACCACTGGACCCTGTCCAGCCCAAAAATCATTGTCCCGGCTCGACTGGGCTTCAGACGCGGTGTCTGCTTTCTCGAAGTTATTATCTGAGCCTAAAGCCGCCATTTTTCTGAATAAAAATAAAGCCCGTCTCCAGGAAGTTACGGTGCCGGAGGAGGAGGGATTTCACGGACGCGGCATGGGCTGGGTTGCCAGATTGACAACAGTCACTCTGGAAAAAATGGGTCGTTGGTTTGTTTATATAATAATAAATAACTATATATTATACTATTATATCACATTATGTTGTTGTTATTATATCACATTATACTGTTATTATTATTATTATTTTTCGTTTAATAATAATAATACATTTAATATTACTGAATGCCCAAATATGTGCCAGTCAGTTTCTTACAGTCTATCGGTCAGTAAGTGTTCGCTGTGTGGGGATGCAGTATTGACTGAGGAGTTGTAACACCATCAGTTTTTGTTGTTTCAATTTGATATATAACATTCACACAAGCTTTTTAATCTACATGATTTTTTTTTTTAAATCTAGAAACGAATCAAGGGGGGTTATATTTTTCACTTTGTGTGTCTGCCAGACCAACAAAAATGGCCTACATTTACCACAGTTGGCAAATCTCACATTGTTTTAGAGCTGTTGTTTTATGTATGTAATCTTGTATCCAATTTTAGATGCTTGATAATTAAAATATCACATTTTAATTATCAAGCAACTAAAATTGGATACGAGATTATATACATAAATGTTACCACATTGCCGCAATATGTGTATACCTTTTTTCTTTTTTTCTTTTCTTTTTTTTTACTAAAATGAAGCTCAAAATGAAATGAGGAGGGTAGTAGTGATGGGTAATTCTGATAATAATGATATGAAATGATGTAATCATTGTAAAATTCAATCATAGTAGATAAATTTGAGAATATTATTTCAGTTACAGGTACAAGTGTTAAAACAGTATCCTCAGCGAACCTGTTTTTGAATAATATATTGTATACCTTTAAACACAATATATCACCCCCCTTTTTATGATTTTTTTTTATTGTTCTTAATATTGGGCAGTGAGCCAGTCTCAGCTGTGCTAAGTGTTTAAATTACAGATATTAATCTAAATTGTAAAGCATTTGTCATTTATAAACTGACATAATCCATCAGCTAAAAACTCAGACACTATTCATCTGATGTCAGAGGGGCAGGAGAAAGATCATTAATTGGTTGGGAGCATATGAGAACGGTCAGGAGCCCTAACTGCGTGACCAAGTTGCCGGATATGTGTAATTAACAGACACGCTTTGATCTGTCTAGTATTCCCACCTGGAAAGGTTGAAAAGGAGCAGTGTGTCCTCTTTCCTATTCCTGAATGCAGTCTTTGGCAGAGACTCCACTCACAAGACGCAAAGTAACTCAGTTGTCAAAAGTATTTAGCAACGTGGAGGTTTCCCCTGTAATAAAACAAATCGGTACAAATCTATGAAACAAACATGTAATTGTGGCAGAAATATTTTACTCTTCCCTCCAACTATCTGTCATTTGTTTCAATAATAATTTGAATGCAGGGCCTTTGTGTATTTCAGTCTTAATGAAGCATGTATAGTATGAATATTTCAGTGACCTGCTGTGCATAATTTTCTGGGTTTTGACACACGGGTTTTGACACCGGTTTGTGGGATTGTTGGATTAAACATTCATCCGTACTTGTCTCTTAGATTTGCTTTATGCATTTAAGCAGGTCTAGTCCTACAGGGTTGCTTGGCATATCAGAACACAATGTGCCTCATCTTGTTTGTTCCTGGCTGATTGGATGTGCTGTTTTGTCTTTGCAAACAGTGTGAGATTTGCTTTCTCCATAATGCACTTGGTAAGTTGCTGTAATACAGCTTACAAATATGATTTGTATTAAATTAATGACAGTATTTTTAATTTAGGAAACATCATTGCTTTAGTATGCACATTGAGGAACGATGATTAATAATAATGATTTTATAATCAAAACAACATTTTTCAGTGCAATTCTTTCCTTATTTTTTCTGAAATTAAAACAATGATCGTTGTATCTATCACTGAGTTAGCATACAGTGCAATAGTGTGCTTCCATAATCGTTTTGTTTTACTGCTTGTACTAAATTATTTGCAATCAGAGCTGCATTAGTAGATTCCTGAGCATTTTTATTGTTTCGATTGAAGACCTCTCCTCAACTGAGCCATTTGCACACATCCTGCCTGAACTCTTATGGGAAACTGTGACGGATGGTTCATCATACTTCTTTTAATTATTCAGCTGTGCAGACAGCACCCTGGGGAGACGTGCTGCGGTGCATTACAAAAAACACACATTCAGTGATATAATCATAATGATGATAATGAAATGTATTTAGAGCACATCAGTGCCTCCCTCTCTCTCTTTTCTCTGCCTCTTGCTGCTCTTGTGGGAGGATATGAGCGCTGTCTGATGCAGAAGAGGCAAGTTTACTGCGCTCTGGCCCCCGGTGGCTCCTTGTGGAGGCCTGCGGTGCCCCGCACGATGGCTCACCGGAGATTAGCCGTCAGAGCTGAGGGTTTTGCATACCTCATGTGCCGTCAACTGCGAAGGCTTACCTGACAGGTGTTGCTCTCGCTCAGATCTGTTGTGTCCTCCTGAGCTGAAGCTTCGATGGGGTGCCTGTGGGTATGAAGAAACCTTCCTTCCTACTGTCAATCATCACAGGCCACACAGCCAGGCCAAAACCAAATCTCTCCTCAATGAGAGTTCAATGATTTCTGATCAGTGTGGCACAAAACCACCCCGGGCGTTGCTTGAAGAGTCCTTGCTTAAATATGTCATTGGGCGTTGCAAACTTTTCGAGATTGCAAGTTTTTCCCGGACAAAGTACTATGCGGGATTGCTTATCTTTACAAATGGAAGTACTGTGTGAATGTAAATGTAATATTTCAACGCAACGAGAAGTCCTATAACTGACGCTTTTGACCATACGTCAACATCCAACGTTTTAGGGTACCCTTTAACGTCAGTTAGATGACGCGGGTAGGTTTAGGTCTGGGGTAGGGTTAGGATTAGATAGCGTCATCTAACTGACGTTAAAGGGTGCCCTAAAACGTCGGATGTTGACGTATGGTCAAAAGCGTCAGTTATATGACTTCTCTATATACAAACTTTTATGTTAGATTTGAATCACTTATTGAAACAAGCATCCTTTAAAAATCTACAATCTATTTAGGCTTGCGATGCTTTTGTGAAGTGGATTAGCTGAATAATTGATCAGATCTGACACAAGGTCAATTTGTTCACAAATTGAAATGATTTGCTCATGAGTCTGTCTGATCTAGTTTTCAAGTTAAACGTCTTGGGATGAAAACGGGCTTAATATTTGGGTTTACTGGGAGTCTCCTCTCTTTGCATACTTCCAACAACGCCATTCAGTCCTTAGAGCATCTATCAGTTGACCTGTTTGTTGTGTTTGTATACGCTCTCACTGGAGAGTTTGTGAAATAAGAACATCTAAGCAGTTTTGTACTGCATCTTGTCCTGTATTAAAGTGTGCTGTCAGGTCAAGCTACCTTTAGTTCTCCCCAGAATTGCAGCATATTAAGAGAAACAGGGACTTAAGGGTGTTAGAAACAGCAAAAGAGACAAATGAATGATCACATGTATGCGCTGTGATAATATATTAATAATTCATAGTGCTTTATGATTCATTAAAACAGGCCTCAGGTTCTGTGGCAGGTACAGGCTGAAACACAGTCTGACATTCCCATGCGATCCTCACAACATATGAACATCTGAACTCTCTCCCTTCTTCTGTCCCCAGACCAGGTGGAAGACCTGTTTTGAAAAATCTCCAGTGGCAAGCAGACTTTACTTTGGGGAATGTAAGTGCTTGTTTTTTTTTTTTTTCCTAAGACTTGCCGGTGTGGGGAGGCGCTGTATATAGTACAATCAATGGCCTATTTATAGCGAACAGGACACATTGACTTATGAACAAATGATGTAATTTATTGACCTCTCCTTCGCTCTTTTGTGTAGTAGCATCCCTGGCTGTTATATGCACAAATAATGTTATTTACGGGTGCTGCTCTATAATGCCATTTATACTCTTTTGTATTGTATATTGTTTTACCCCAATGTGAAACTCTGTTCAAGCATTTTTGGAACTTTGTAGATCAGCACTTCTCTCCTTGTTTCTTTTCATTTGGATAAAAGTTTAAGAAAATGAATTCATGTAAATGTTTGTATCCTTTATATCGACATGACACCGTTTTTTACAGTCCTGAGGAAACGGTCCAAGAAAAGAGCAAAGTTGTAAAGGGTTCCTGACTTTTCCTCTGTCGGATAGTGAACTGTGACTGTCTCTCTGCCTGGTTCTGGCAGCTGGTTGTGGGCAGGGCATGCCCTGTGGCAGTGCCGGGAGGACCAGGGCCTCTGCCTGCTTGTCTCGCCTGTGCTAATGCAATAAGGCCGGGCCGCCCATATGGCACTTGTGGGAACAGTGGGACTCTGGAGGCTGGCATAGAGAGCCACCACTCTGCTGTTAGATATTAAAAAGGACAGGTCCTCAACGGGCTCTGCCCACAGCCGGACAAAGTAATGGATGGGTTTGGTGATTGGACAGCACTTGGAGCGGCCTGTGTGAACCCGCCAATGAGCAAAGCCAAATAGTTGCAGCTGTGAAAATTCAGGCCTGGAGAGTGTCCTTGACAAGTTTTGTTGATGCATTTTCCATTGGTACAATTACAAGTGTAATTAGAATAGATGTTTAGAACTAGGTCCAGACTCCCATTTTTAAAAGGTGGTGCCCAACACATCTTTGTGGACCACTTTTAGAAGGAGTGGTCTGATCAACAGGTGACTCTGAAGTTCAATAAACAAGCTTCTCTATTCTGAATCAAGGTGATGATGATGTATAGTCCGTTGTGGTTTGAGGGTGGTAGTACACGCCCAGCAGGACAACAGAATGTCCTTCAAAGGGGAGCTCAAGGAAAAGTTTCCTTGCCAGAATCCATCAATGAGGCTAATGGAGAGAATGTGGATCAAGGCCGGAAAAGGTAGTGGACTGCAGTGGTCCACTTGGTCCACTTGGCACAAATTGTGGCTTGCTGTACGATTTTCTATGTTTTAATGGATAAAACGTGGCCAGGTAGAGCAGTGCCAGATGAGGCTTTAGCAAG